TGCGGTGTTAAAGAAATACAGTTACCAGCTGAGGGAGCTGTCATGTTCTACATGCCTCAGAAATGGTGGCTCAGCAAATCCTGATGAGGAACATAAAATTTTGTTTAGACACCTCAATGTTTGTATTTGTTTGCTTTAGGATAAGAGCAAAACGGAAGATTTTTGTCGTCTGCAGAGGGAACATGAGAATCTAGCCTTTCAGATTTAGCATGGGAACATGTGAAACTGATCAAATACTTCTCAGGAGGTGCTGCCTAACCATAGAGGAAGGCCCCATTTCACATCCTAGTGGTTTTGTGGGTGTGTGGGAAGATGTGAAGTGAGCCACAGGGCTCAGGTTGGGTTGGGGCCGATGCTGACTGAGGCTGCCAGGGCTGATGCCTCCTCACTGCCGAGGCTTTCGGTAACACTGAGATTATTTTTTTTTATTTTTATTTTTCTGCCTCCACCTGTACCCTTAGTAATGAATATTCAAAAATGCGATAAGCGGTGGTTAAACTGTCACTCAGCAAAATGCATAAAAAGTGCCTGAATCATTGTTCTGACATTTTTTTTCCCCTTTTTTCCCTTTCCGTCCCCTGGCCAGGCTGGAGCTGTACAGAAAAGTGCCAAACCTGCGGATCCTGGCCTGCGGCGGGGACGGGACGGGAGGGGGCTGGCGCCTGGCAGCCCTATGGTCATTGCCAAGAGATTTAATTCCTTGTAGTTTGGGTTTTCCACCTTGCGATGCCTGCAGAGCCAGATAACATACCTTGCGCTTGTGAAATCTACTCTTTTTAAGTTTTCTGTGTGGCCTGGCCTGTGTAGTGATGGGGCCAGATCCTAATGTCCAAGGTCCTATCTGCTTTATGCAAAAAGATTTGGCACAGCTTAAAAAAAAAAAAAAAAAAAAAAAAGACTTAACTTTGCTGGCCTCCTCTCACTATTGACACGGATCTGAGCGTCTAGTAGGTTAAATCAGTGTCTGGGGGCAGTCAGTATCTTAATTTCTGCTCCTTCCTGCTGTCATCTCCCTGATGTCTGAGTACAATCAAATAGAGTCTCCTCTGTGCCTAAAGAAAGTGAGTTTCCCCACTTTCTTTGCAAAGCATCTGTAAGGAAGGATATTGCATTGGTCATACTACTGGCCTGGGATCTGGCAGATCCGGGGTCAGTATTTTTCTTTGCTACTCAATTTCTGTGTGTTCTTAGGTAAGCAAAAAAGGTCAGATCTTTAAAGGATTTAGGCACCTTTGGTTGGAGACAGGCTCCATGGTTCAGGGCCTGGAGGCCAAGAGTAGTAATGGAGGCATTACAACCGCATTTCTTTTTCCAGTACTTAGCAATAATGTAAATCTCAGTCTGTGCCACTGAGTGCTTAAATACAGTTGAAAAACTGACCTTTAATCTCTGTGAAGATCAGTTCCCCAAACATGCACTTGATAATAGTTGTAACCATAAGTATGGTAAGGAAAATCCATTACTGGTTACAAGGTGCAATGGCTGGCCAGGATAGATATATGTAGATATTTAGGGCATGGGGAGACCATTTTTTTTTTTTGTAGTGAGCTGAACCAACCCTCAACCGCTCTCTGCTTGAATTTCTGGGGGAACTTTCTGTTCAGCTTCTGTGGGTTCTTTTAAAATGCCAGCTGCAAGGGTTACTAATACCAGTGCTTCCTCCGCAAGAGTGAAGAAAATATGTGATTTGCCTATTGTCTTGCTGATACCTGGGACAATAAGATACTATTGAATTGTGAATGTTCCTTGAGAAACCTGCAAGGCATTGCTTTAGCAGGAGACATAGCTGTAAAAAAGACTTTCAATCTGTTTCTGAAAGTCTTTGCAGCTTTCATCTGAGGAAGCCAAAATTTTGGTAGGGAAAAAAATCTTCATCCTGAAAGTATTAAAGTAGAAATGAATGCAACTACATTTGAGTCTGACCATCTTTTGTTTTCCCTTTGCTGAGCAGTTCAAGCGACAGGTGGCAGCACCTTCTCGTTAGTATGAGCAGCACTCTGCTATTACCTTTGCTGCTGCTCAGTTTGCAGCAAATTAATATCTAGTTATTCCCAAAGCAATTACATCTAGAAATGAAAAATCTGGCTCAAATGGACTTAGTGAATATTCAATGAGACCAGATGTTACCTTACATTATTGAGGTGAATCAGAACTCATTGTAACTTTTCCATCATCACTGCTTGCTGTTCCTTTCCAGGGCATAAGTGGAAAGCTTTGCTTTCAAAGCAGTCAGGAGCTTTCTGTTTACAGGGAAATGACAGTCTTTGTCATCCTAGATTGTAAAACTAATGTGCAAGGTTTAGAAATGACCTCAAGTTAAATAGCAATGTTGTACTTATAAATTAGTAATTTGAAGTTTCTGTTTATCAGTTAAAATAATTTACAAAAGTGGTAGGTATTGTAATGCTACCTGCACCAGTGGGAGGCTGAGGCACAGATGTATGGATAAAGTCAGTGGCAATGACAAAGGGCTAATGACAAAAGACTTTTTAAGTCATCCTGGCCCCAGTGCAGTTATCAGAACTCTTTATTCTGTCTCCTATTATCAATACTGAAGGATAGATTTTTGAAAGGTAGAGGATTACTTATCTCTGAAAATCTCGTAAGGGCTGTACCTAGTCCTACCATGGTGCCTATGATAGACTTAAGTACCTTTGATGACTTCCTAGTTCATGAGATCTGTAAGTGATTCAGATGACTGTTGTCAGACATTAAGCTCTAATGTGTGTTCACATCCCAGATGAATGCTTTAATAATTGTACAATTGGTTTTGATAAATAACTGTCTGATAAATGCTATTTATACTTAATTAAGTCTCTTCAAGAGGCTTGGAGAAAGACATACCCTAGAATACCAAATAGGGTGGTGGTTGCTATATCTCTCAGACCACTCCCTCTACAGTCCTTCAAATTCCAACTGTGGTTCCCAATACCCATGTTATGCTGGGTACCTTTTGTGAAGCTTCAGTTTCATCCCAGTTTGGGGTAAGAATCTATTTGATATCATAGTAATGTGGAGTTCGGGATTTTTCCTCCTCCCCCTAATTGGGGGAGGAAAAATCCTGTCCAGCTGCAGTCAGGATTTCAGTTTTATATCTTATTTAAAAGCTCACATTTCCAGTAGAGACTGCATCTTTGAACATTGGTGTCAGGAAAAAAAAAATAGATCAAATTTTATCTTATGTTTATTTTTTCTTATTTCTTTATTTAAGAATGCAGCACAGTTCTTTCACAGATTTCAGTGGTGGTGTGGTTTTTTTTGGTTTTTTTTTTTTTGTAACAGTGAGAAATAGTTTACGAAATAGTCCTATTTTCTTGTGGGAAGAATTTCAGTCAAAAAATTTCAGAATATTTTCAGCAACTCTTCTTTACTCCATTAGAAATTACCATTTGATGAAAACAAAATATTTTACAGTAATTTGTTTCTTCTGGCTAGATTTCTATTTAAAAGTTTTATGTAGTCCAGAATAGGGACAGGAGAGAGAAACAGCTCTCTAAAATAACCAATAGTTTACAATACAAAAGAGCCAGATTCATTGTTCCAACCCAAAGACTTCAACTCTGAGCATTAGAGTTTGTCTTCTATTCTAGTCTTTTAGTCTTCTATTTCTCTCTCTCTCTCTCTCTCTCTCTCTGTATGACTAGAATATATATATTTTATGCTTTGCACTGAGTGAAATAATTCAGCACTAAGGTCTCTTGTCTGGGAAATGGGAGACCTGCAGGCAAGTCCATGCTTGACTTTATCTGGACCCTCTGTTCCAGGTCTAGGACATGCTCTGAGATACCATGCTGTTTCATGACAGTTGTCAAAGATTTAGTTTCTTTTAGCATAAGGGCACTTTAAAAAGTTTATCTTGAATCATCTATATTATTCTTCACTCATTTTTACACACAGTATTTTTCAGAGCAATAGTTAGGCAGCCTTAGCCAGGTGTAAGTCTATGTGTGTTGATTTCCTGCTTGAAGAACAGCAACTTATGTGTTCCCTTTCCTCAGTAACTCTGTGTGCTGTTAAAGATAGCCAGTGTTTATATCCCACTGCTTATGCTTGCACAAGAGCTTCGTGAAAACTGCTGTACCTGTTCTCCGAAAGGTGAAACCTCAGATGGGGCAGTTGTAGAGTTAAATTTCAGATATCCTCATTTTTCTTTCTCCCTTTTGTTTTACTTAATTTTCTCTGTAAAGGGGATACGATAAAAATATGTCTTTTTCCTTTTTTCCATCCCTTTTAATCTTCCTGACTAACAGTTCTCTGCATTTCCCATTTTATAGGTGGGCTGGATCCTTTCCATCCTCGATGAGCTGCAACTCAGCCCCCCGCCTCCTGTGGCCGTCCTTCCGCTTGGCACTGGGAATGACCTTGCCCGCACCCTCAACTGGGGTGGGGTAAGCACTGACTGGCGTACCCTTATGTGCAGGCTCTCAACTTGCTAGTCTGATTTAGTTGTGTAGTGGAGTGAAACTTCATTTTGGCTAAAATAGCAGGCAGGGCTGTGTCTAAGGTCTGCTTCAGTGAGGCACAATGGTTTGGTTCGATTTCTAGTCTGGGATCTCGAATTACTAATGACGTAGTTGTTGTAATAAAAGTGTACATAGGTGTATCTGTCTGGTATTTCAGGCCAAGTAATGAGGAAGATATGCAGGCTTCTAATTTAAGCACAGTTTAAACTTTATTTCTCTATATTTATCCTTGACTACACCACTGGAGTTACTCCAGGCAAGGCAAATACACTGAGTTCCTTTCCTTATGGTCTTACTTCACCTGCCCAAGACTTGTGTACCTCAGCAATAGCTTGTTAAAATGGTTGATACATCAAAATTTAGCAGTATTTTGAGGTGTTCTTAGGAACATTTGATCTGGCCTCTATGGAAGGAGGGAAGTCTGCCAGGTAACTGGCGAGTGACTTGCTTTGCTTGCACTATCCATGGCTTACTCTGGTGACACTCCCTCTGCTGTCAGGGTTACACAGATGAGCCAGTGTCCAAGATCCTGTGCCATGTAGAAGATGGGACCATTGTCCAGCTGGACCGCTGGAATCTCCAGGTTGAGCGCAACCCTGATTTGCCACAGGATGAGCTGGAGGATGGGGCACGTAAGGTTAGAGCCTTCTTTTTCCCCAGGGAGACTATAGGATCCTTAAGAGCATCTTTGGATTACACCCTAAGATGCATGAGTGGGGAAGCTCTAAAACTTTTTAATTCTCTAGTTGCATCTCTTCCTTTTGCTCTTTTCATATGTCAATGCTTCCAGAGGTGTGTGAAACATAATATATACCAGCCATTTATTTATTGTTTGTAAGTCTCAGACATTGAGCATTTATATCAAGAACTAAGTCCTGGTAGAAATCCCTGGTATCTTACCTGAAAGGTCATTGTTTTTTTTTCTCTAGTTAACCTGGGGTGGCAGAAGAAGCAACCTTGTAACTACCATCCATTCCTAAATTAGAGATATAAATCTAAACACAGGATGTAGAATTTTATTCCTTTGGATTTTGCTAATGGATACCATTAGTAATGTATTTTTGTATTTAACTTCTTTGTGTGTGGGTCTCCATGTGATCTTGATAGTTGAAGAATGGGAAAATCTTTGTGAGTGGATCACATTTACAGTAATAGGCCATTTGGACTGGAGATGTTGAAAGTGTTACAATCATAAAAAAAAATTGTGAACCATTTTGCTCGTCGTTGTAATTTCCAGCTTATCTATCGGATGCTACCGTTCTCTCTCCACAGCCCTGCTGGGTGTGTGTAATGACGAAGAGGCCAGATGTGTGCTTCCCTGCCTCATGCATCCTCAGCAGAATAGGGCTTCTTGTGTGGGACTTGCATTGCTCCTGGTTATATAGGAAGCAGGAAGAACACAGCTTGAGTTTCATTCACCATGCTGAGCTTGAAGTGCCAGCAATTAGGAAAACCTTTGTATTGACATGTTACGTGGAACAGCATTATGGGAAATCTCAATTACATCATAAGGAACCCTTTGATGTGTTTACAAAGATACATATATGATCATAAAGCCCTGTAGATGTGTTTGTGTTCTTTAGGCTTTTGTATCTGATCATCTTCCACAAGCTGTTACTAACCTTCAGAGCAACCTTCTGCATACATTTCCCTAATATGTTCCACTTTCTTCTTCTTAGGTTTTCATGAGATGCCAGATTTAAATTAGTTAATTCCTGATGTGTTATGGAACGTTTCATTTGTGTTATTTTTACGTGTCTTTTTCTTATCCAATTACAGCTTCCACTCAGTGTCTTCAATAATTACTTCAGCCTTGGATTTGATGCACATGTTACACTGGAGTTCCATGAATCTAGAGGTAATAGGAACTTTTTACTTCATTAGCCTTGAGAATGGGCAGTTATTTTATGAATTACAAATGGAGTTGGATTTAACACCTTGTTCTTATAATTCAGAAGGAAAGCTGGAACATGAAACCCAAGATACAGACACAAGTAGGAAGGAAGTGATTGTATCATGAGTTTCCAAGGGACTTCATGATTTAAAAATGAAAAAAGTACAAGAGAAAATGGCATTCACTGGAGGAAAAGGGCTAAAAGGGGAGCTTTTCAAAGTTTTTCATCTTCTAAAGGAGATACCAAGTACAGATATAAAGGAAGTTTATGCTGATGCAGAAGTGTGAGAATAAGAGCAAAAAGAAAAACAAATGTAAGTCAGGTGCCAGTTTTCCCTCCAGTGTGGAGGTGGAGGGAAGAGAAAAACTGCGAGGCTGTGGAAGTAGCAGGGTAGCAGGAAGATAATTGTGAGCAGCTGTTACCTATAGATGAGTATAGCATAATATCATTGGACTTGGTACAGAGCCAGAGTGTCTCTATGCGAGTGAAAAGTTTTAATAAAGTCCACAAAAAAACCTGTCAGGAATCTGAGCTGTTGTAGCATCTTGTTTGTCCCCTTGCTGATGGCAGTTATACCACCCCATACAGATCCAAATGTGGCTTAACAGGTGGGCTTTGGACTGATGTGAACTGCTCTATTTATATGCTTTAGGCAAGCATGCGTGTATAAACAAACCTTGTTCAATTGCCTGTGTTAAGCTTTTGGTCATTTCAGCTTCATATGCAGGTATTTTTTTCTCAGTGACACCCTCCCTTATCTTCACTTTCATACTATCAGAGTGTCATTTCAAGATGAAAAGATGGCACTCTAATGCCATGCTAAATAAAGAGCAGGATACATGATGGAATGAGCTAATGCATATTTAATAATGTTTAAGACTGCTTCAAGCTTTAGGAATAATAATGAGGGGCCACAAAAGGGCACAGGAATGAAATGATGACAGCTGTATGCATTTTTTCATGAATGCATATCACTATGCATTGCTAATGTGACTGTGAATATACTGTGTAGATGAAATGCATGGCTACTTTCTCACTTAATGGAGGCATTACTTAATAATGAAGTAATGGAGCCCTATAAAGAATGGATGTTATTCCAGAGATGGCAGTGTTTTAAAAATTTACATGGGTGAAAAAATACTTGGCAGAACAAGCTGTGTGTCTGTGAGCGGGTGTGTGTGGCCAGGAGAGCTTTTCATAGCCCAAGTGTCTGCTCTTACAAGTCATTACGGCTGGTGTCTTCCTTACCCTCTCAAATGCTAAAATATACAAAGGAGTTCTATGTGTTTTAGGAGAGAAAAGCTTGTAGCCTTGGAGGTGTTGCTGGTGTGTGGGTTTTATTGTGTTTCATGTGGAATTTAGCAGTGCAAAACAGATTCTCATCTCATTTACAATTGATGACAATCCAGAGAAACTCTTAGCAAAACTTTAGCAAAACTTAAAGCACTTCCATGGCTGTTGCACTTGGTCCATTAAGATAAGTGGTTGTATGCAGTTGCTTATGTGGAGCTATTGTAATCACATATAGTATTAAAACAAACAAACACCATGCTCCTCCCGCAACCACCCAAAATAAATTAGACTGATTTGAACTCTCAGCCTATCAGGGCATTTTATGCAAGAGAGATTGGTCAAGTGTTATTTAGAATAAGCAGTGATTGTAATGTCTCAGAGGAGCCTGCACATGAATGTAGCCTTTTCCATGGCAACCTCTACACTTTTCTTGTGACTAATCAGATTGAGCCTTGAGGGTTGGCTCCAAGCCTAACATATTTAGCTCTGCTTCTTCAGGAGGTGTTCTGGGTAGCAACTCTTTCCAAAGTCACAGTTTCCTCCCTTGTTATCCTTATGCTTTGGGGGATCAAGGGAGATGCAATTTACTTTATCCCTGTTGGCATGCTGTTTGCTCCCTCAGCTCTCCAGGACCGTTCATTTACAGGACACCTCCCCCCTACTCATGCACACGTGCACACACACACACAATAACACTTTCCTTTTCCTACTCCCTTGATGGCTTGAGAAGGGTGAGGATGGAGTGAGCCTTGGATATGCAGTCAGTGATTTACTTTTACAATCGAAATTGCATTCTAATCAACTGTAGGCTCTATTCTACATTGCATTTCTCCCTCCCTACCCATGCTCATCTGCTAAGTCAGAGGTAGGAGCAGTTCAGTGTGTTGAAGGTTCCTGACCTCAGAAAGGCTCCTTTTTGGATTACCCAGTTCCAACCTGGGGCTTTGGTTCTGGTCAGTATTTGTCGTAAGATCCATGTAAGAGCCAGTGCTCTGGTGGCTGCTGCCCAAAGCCATTGGGGATAACCGTATCAGAGAATGTGCAGCATGGGCACTGAGCCTTCAGGAGCCTCATGCTTCTTAGCATGGGATGTTGAGACTTTCTGTAAAGAGCTGTGAGCTCAGTAAGTGAGATGAGAGTTACTTAAGCAGTTAAATTAATAGTTTTAAGAAGAGGTGGCCCTGACTGCATCCCAGGCTCACCTGCAATACAACAAATGGATGATAACAGTAGCTGGGCAAACAATCAAACAAGAAACGCAGAGTAAGTAGCTCATTTTTGCAAAATGGAGCCTTATATTGTGAGATGTAGTGACTTCAAAGAGAACTAGAAACATTGTTTCAAGTGGTCATTTGAGAAGTAATTTGGAATTGTTCACACCGGTGTGATGCTTTAGCCGGAAGGACTATCTTGATACTCGGATGTTTTCACTGGAGAATTACTGAGCAAGGATGGGTGGTTGGTACTACCACTGAATACAGTGTCAGAAGGGCTGCTTCTGAAATCTCTGGATGCCACAGGCTAGGAAAGCAGTTCCCAGGGAGGCACGGGAATGACCTGTATTCTGGGAAGTGTGCCTTATACTGGGAGATTAAAGGAGCTCCATTTAGCTTATCGAAAAGAAGGTTAAAAGGTGATTTAATCACTGCCTATAAGTATTTACTCAAGGAGAAGATATCTGATAGTTGGGGGCTCTTTAATTTGACAGAGAAGTGTAATAAGATCTAGCAGTTGGCAGCTGAAGTCTGAAAAGTTCAAGATAGGAAAAAACCCCACATTTATTTTAACAGTGAGAATAATTAACCATTAGAAGTGCATTACTACTGGACTATTAAAATTATCCATCACTTAGAGTCTAATCAAAATGAAACAGCTCTCTAAATAGGTTTTAGAGGAACCACTTATTTTTTTTCTGCAGGAATATTTGGGTAGAGATGTCTATTCCTCAGTACCTCTTTGTAACACATCAGAATTCTAAGTGCCTGTTTCATCTTGTAATTTACTAATGCTTTACTCCTGCTTCAAAGAATAGGTTAGTGTTTCATGGATTTCTAATAATCATTAGAGGTCTGTTCTGCCTTGGTAGAAATAGAAGTTTCACAAATGGTACTGAGGGATCATAAGATGTATAGTCTGAGAGGTGCTAAATTAACTGATTGTATTCTTGTTACCTCTTTGCTCCTGTTTCTATCTATTTTCACTCTACAGGAAAGGGGAAGAATTCAATATCCATGTTTTAAATCTGATAGCACATAATGGCACAGATGGGGGACTCTCCCACAGGAAAACTATGCTTATGTTAATATTTTTGCTGAGTGATGTGTGCTAAAAGCACTGTAGTGCTAGCAGGGAAAGTGAAGGTACAATGGTGTCTACTTGTTTTATTAGGGTGTTCATATTTTTCCTTTTTATCCTTTCACAGAAGCAAATCCAGAGAAATTCAACAGCCGATTTAGAAATAAAATGTTTTATGCAGGGGTGAGTTGTGATTCATCTTACAGAATGGTGCTAACTTAGTTGGTTTAATGTTTTCTTAAGTACCTTCCCCCTCACTTTCTCACATCAGGAGCTCATGCCAGTTCATCTTGCCTGTTGCAATTTAAAGTGCACGTGTGCTGTTGCTGGCAATGCCACACACATGTGTCTGTTGGAAAGTGCCTGAAGCACTGTTGGTTTACAGTGCTTAACAGTGAGAGAAATGCTACTCTTTTGGACATAGTACTGGTCATGTCTTGCTCCCCCTGGTTCTGGCTCATAAGCTCCTCAACAAACTGCTCTGCTTTTTTCAGGGTTTGGGCAGCCGCATTGATACTGACTTTCCTAGAGAAATTCCCCAAATGTTAGCCTGTTTGTAGCTTTGAGTAGTCTTGGAGGTAGGGTCATGGGGAGTGGAGGACAAAGGTCAGCTATTTGGAGTGATTAATTTTCATATGTGAATATGCAAATAAAATTACCCATTTCTGCATTCAGGAGATACATGGACAACGCTTTATTCTAAAACGCAGTTATTAAGAGAGAAATGCTAATTTGATAATGCATGACATATAATGTCTTTCTGGATGATGACTCTCACTGTACCCATGTGCCTTAAACATGGAAACAAATATGTGAGCAAGAATTTACATTTAAATCCTTGGGTGCCCAAGGACCTTCTCTGGTTAACCTCTCAAAAGGAGAAGTATCATGATATAAAAAAAAAAAAAAGAAAAAGAATTTTGTATCTCCTGAGAGCAAGAAAGAACAGGTTTGACAAAAGGATGGCATTTTGGTAATTAGCTCTGTGGTGGGATAAGAAATGAGGAGAGAGAAGAGAGGAAGCGCTGATGACAATTCCTTCACTTATTTCTGTTGCAGGCAGCCTTTACAGACTTTCTGCAAAGAAGCTCAAGAGATTTATCCAAGCATGTTAAAGTTGTGGTAAGTATAAGAAATTGTGTCATAGTATTGTGGGAAGAGGGGGGAATGGAGAGAGAGCGAGGTGAGAGTTTAATGGCTCTGTTACTTTTCAGTTTTGAGCATGACATTTGCAACACATTCCAAGGAAAGTCTTGGGAAAGTTGTTACAAAGCAGCAACACTTCTCTTGTCTGTGGCTCCATTCAGCAATTTCTCTGTGCTCTGTCACTTTGGCTTTGTAGTGTGATGGTACAGACCTGACTCCAAAGATCCAGGAGCTGAAGTTCCAGTGTATAGTGTTTTTAAACATACCCAGGTAAGCTCAACACAGATGCTTGGAGTTATAAAAGGGAAAAAACCAACCAAACAAAAAAAAACCCCTACAAGTTGTCCTAGACTGGGTGGATGTGCAGGAAGAGTATTGCCACTGTGCTGCCTTCTTGAGAGCTAGGCGCTTATAATACTGTTAATTAGCAATACGGAATGGGATCCGAGTTCAGGGTGCAGCTAAACCATCCTTTAAAAAGTTGAATATCCTGATATAGAGAGAGTAGAAATGATTAACAACATGCTTTCAAAAGTTGTGCACCTATCCTGCAAACAAGATAGTAAAGACACAGATGTCTGGTCTTTCGCTTAATTAGAAGCAGTGTGTGAAAAAGTGTGTGTGTATGGAAATCAGTATTTTTCCAGTTAAGGAACACCAAACTTTTGAAAGATGTGCTGTTTTTTAACATGTTAAAAACAGAAATATAGCTGTATTCTCAAAAGTTGTCTATCTCCTGCTCTCTAGAGCAGTAGTCTCCAAACTTTTTTGATTGTACATCCTTACCAGTAAAAAAATGTTTAAGCACCACCCCAATATATGTATATTTATTTATGAATTATATACATGTACTACTGTACTAATTTATCACATACATTATAAAACATACACAAGAATAGAAATTAAGAAAGGATGTGATAAAGATGAAACAAATGCTATTTTAATGGTTTTTTTTCTTATTTATTAAAAGTACAAACAATATTTTCTTCACATACCCTAATTCTCTTGTCAGTTGTGGATTTTTCTTGCACACTCCCTGTGGTGCATGCACCCCACCTTGGAGACCACTGCTTTAGACAACCTACCATTTCGCTCCACATGCGGTCCCAAGCACTTGATCTTTTGAGTCCTGCACTGCCCTCACTGCAAGCTTCTACTTGGTGTCATCTCTCCGAAGTTCCCCCTTCTATCGCTCTTAGATCACTTTTACATCCATTCTTTAACGGTAGGAAAGATAGATGCCACAGCTGCATCTGTTCCTGCTTCTTATTTCTCCCTGCCTGTTCAAGCTATGAAATGTTTTGCATTCCTTATGCTGTTATAGCTTCTGAGCCAGCAGGGAGAGAGGAAATGGAGCTCCATGGCTGGAGTTGCTGCTGCAGCCCCATGTCTGCCTAGCAGAGGGACTAAGCAGCTTTCTGGCTCAACAGCTCATCTGCAGAAAGCAAAGCAAGTGGGGAGAACAAAGTGCTGCTGCTCTGTTATCTATTTCCTGGTGTTTCCCCATTTTTCTCTCACAAAGGAACCTGCTAAAGATTATGATGAATACATTTATGGATGGTGTACCAGCTTGGAAATGAGGCAGATTTTTCCCTTTTGTCCAGTCCTTGCCAGCATAACTTTTAATTGTCCCTGAATTGAATCCTGGAATGGATATCTGGATACTTCTGGAGGATAGCAGAACAGGCTAATAGTCAGGCTACTAGTCAGGACCCATCAGGGCAAACTGCTTTCTCAAAGCTTGCTTTCCAAACCTCTTTCTGTAGGTATTGTGCTGGCACAATGCCCTGGGGAAACCCTGGAGATCACAGAGACTTTGAGCCTCAGCGCCATGATGATGGCTACATTGAAGTCATTGGGTTCACCATGGCCTCACTGGTGAGTATATTGCGGGTGCTACCTTTCCTGCAGGTAGACTTGGTGAATTCTGTGGGCGGTGTTACAGAGTGCAAAATTGTCCTCATTACTGAAGAACCACCATGATTCCACATTCAGTCAGCTAAGGCCAAAACATGCTCTGCTATTGGGTTTTAAATGAGGGGGACAAATTGTAGTTTTCCAGTAGAAGAAGTGTTCTTTAATAATAAAAATGTACTCTTTGCAAAATATGGCTAATTTGCATGTGCAGTGCTCCCAAGTTAAACAGCAAGATTATTACAGTAAAAACAGCATGCATGCACGTTTTTACTGTGGGAATGTTCTATGTTCAAATAATTACTGCTGTTTCTCTTTAGCTTTTGTATATTTCAATCTATGGCATAAAAGTTCAAATTTTTATGTAAAACTGGCTACTGGAAACAAATATGAAATATTATATAAAATTATATGCCCATACAGTTTCCATATGCCCACTAAAAATGTTGTGAAAATTTAGTAATAGCTGTGGAAAATTTAGTAATATTTCTGGCACAAACGTTATCTCTTTCTGTTCTGTTAGGAAAAAAAAATTTTAATTTGGCAGTGCAGTTTCTGCGAATGCTGTCCTTAAAATGAACTAAAGTTGAGTTACTAAAAAAGCAATCTCAGTGTAAATACCCTAGTGTCCTACTATCACAGTGGTTAGACACAGTGACGGTCTCTTCAGAGGACGATTAAACGTGGTCAGAAAGTTGGTAGTTATCCCCGTGCTAGTGTTAATCTACCTAAGGCACTGCAGCTTGAACTTAGTGTGGGCAACAGAAGGCACGTATCAGGGCTTCTTGGCAGGTTTATTTAGGTCATGCTTAAGTCCATACTCTTAAGCCTTTGTTGCTGCTATGTCTTGTGTGGACTAGGTTAAAGCTAACATGGATAAGCCTGTTTTCCCTAAATTCACACATTTATTTGTTGTGTGACCTGCCCTCAGTGCATTCAGTGAATACCCATAATAATGGTGTTTGCTTCCTCAAAGAGAAATTCAGACAAATCTAATCTTCAAAGTAAACAAAAGTAAAAGGTTGCCTTGATCAGCAATCATTTCTTTAGAAGGCTGGGTTAAGGGTTCTTTTTTGGTCTCTCTTTTTTTTGATGGATCTGGTGGATTAGGGAAATAACCTACAGGTAAGCAGAACTCTGTTTGTTAGCCTAGTAGATCTTGTGGAATGAACATTTGTTACTTCACCCCAGAAGATTTTAGGGTACGTTTCTGAAAACGCTATCAGAAGTCTATTTAGCATGTACCAACTAGCAATTTTCAGCTGGAATCTTTTTTGGTTTGCCACTAATGTGTCTCTAGCCACTCGCAGTAGCCAGAGCGATCTCAAAGCTACCAAAAATTTCAGTTGGGACTGAATTTAAGTAGTAGGGCCCTTTGAGCTGCTCTTTCTCGTTAAAGGAAGCCTAGTTCAGAACCGAGGGTCTACAAGTCTACATTGGTTGTGATGCTGAGGAACCATTGTAGTCCTTGACTGTGTTGATACAATCCTAACTTGCTCCGTATGTCTCCCAGATGTGCTTGGTCATACCCAAGAAGGTCTGTGAGACCAAGGAAGAGAAGTACTTTATAAGAAGTGTTATTATGAATATTATTGACCGTATTATCAGTTGATCCATAATACTGAGCACACAGAGCAGGATTAAGGTCTTGACTTGTGGTCGGGCTGCTTTCTGTTAGTAGTGCATTAATATAGGATTTTTTCCCGCATCTGATACATGAGAGTTAATAGTCACACTACAAATTAAAAAAATACATTTCTGCCCAAGCATGTCTGCTTAGAACTTGAAGGATCTGCTCATTGCCCTCCTTGTTTCATTTCTTTGAAATGAATTCTTAAACATGATATTTAATTGTTTTTAACAAGGTCCTTCTGCTTGCTCTTTTCAGCCTGTCTAGTCTCGAGGTTGAGTTGCTGTGTAAGCTTTCATAATAAGGATTTTAGATTTATCTAATTCACATTAAGGACTGTGTTCTGTTCAGGAAGGGGAAATAATTTTTCTGTCTCACAGATGTACCCAATTAAGGTGGTTGTTTTAAAGAGCAAATAACTAGTTGTATTACTGTTTGTGTAAAAACAAACCAGCCAAAACAAATTGAAAACTTTAAGAATAAACACAGGTATTCATTTGTGCATGCACATGTGTGTGTATACATACTTGTATGTGTGTGTAATAACCTTGACATATACCAAGGTGATGAGATGTGCAATGCATATGGTTAGATTGGGCTTGTTGCCCACCACTTTTCCTTGTGAAATTTTAAGTCCTGCTTTGCAATTTTGGAGTGAAAATACATTCGTCCTGACTCGTTAGAATGCCTTACACATGGAACGCTGTGTAATGGATGCTGTCAGCAAAACTGCATTTCGGATTTAACTGCCTCAACTATCTGTTCTGAGGTGTCTTTTCTTTGTCTTTCCTGTTTGTTTTGGGGTTTTTTTTGCCTGTGTTTTGTTTTGTTTTGTTTTTTTCCCCCCAGGCTGCTCTCCAGGTGGGTGGTCATGGAGAGAGGTTGCATCAGTGCCGTGAGGTGACACTTTTAACGTACAAGTCTATTCCCATGCAAGTGGATGGCGAACCATGTCGATTGGCTCCCTCACTCATTCGAATCTCCTTAAGGAACCAAGCCAACATGGTGCAGAAGAGCAAGAGGAGAACATCCATGCCTTTGCTGAATGAGTGAGTTGGATATGTGCATGTCCTAATGGCAGGAGGCCTGTTTGGGGCAGCATATTCAGTCACGGATTTTGCATGTACTGGACTTGCGCATTTACAAAAAAAAACAAAATAAAAAAAAATTCACACCTTCTGAACTCCCTTACTTACTCAGGTAAATACTTACCTGATTTTCTTTTATTCTTTTATCTTCTGGGTTACCCTCTGTCTTGCTTTTAGAAAGGTGTTGTATCTTTGAGTTACTTAGAGAGGTTTGTGCAGGCTCAGCAGTGTGCCTCTTGGCTTCTGACAGTTCTGCATATGTATGCCATTTACCTTTGAAGTTCTTTTGATTAATTTTCCCAACTTGATTGATCTGCTTTTTAAGCTCCACTGGAGACCCTGTAACAGATTTCCATAATCAAAAATTACTCAGGACATCTTGTAGTCTCTGTTGTGGGAGCATGCTGCCTGGGACTGTTTACGGAGAAGGACCTGGAGGTCCAGAAAGGGCTGTTTGCACTTTGTAGGGAATCCTGCTCCAGTATAAAAACCCAAATGAGAAATGAGTAGCCTAAAGATGAATAGAGAAAAGCTAAGATAACTGGAAACCAGGAACATGGGAAGAAGAAAAGACAGGACTAACATTCCTTTTCATAATTAAACCTTATTTGTAAACACTGCAGAGATATTTTAACATGAAAAAAAATTCAAATTTTGACCTGTGAAAATGCCTGTCCAATAAAATAATTTAGATTATTTTGTAGAGCTTATTGTTGTACTTCTTGTATGGAAGGCCTTCATCGCTGATAAAATGAAGGACATAGTAAGTGCCTTTTCTGTTTTTCATCAACTATTCTTAAAGTGAAGCAAAACAGCCTGTCCCTCCTACAAAGATACCAAGCTAAAGGCCTAAAGTTATCAAGGATCCACATTTCATTCAAATATCCATGCACTGAGGATTTCATTTTTCTGGGGAGGTGGGTGGGGGATTTTGCTGTTGCAGCTGTAGTGGTGAGGCAAGGTTTATGAAGAGATGGAATATCTTTCGTTAGACTAACTCACATAACTGGAAAAAACAGATCAAGGTCTCAAGCACACCTTTTCTCTTCAGGTATCTTAAAGGTTGTCTGTGTCTTTCAACTGTATCATCTAGTGGAAGATATTGCTTCACTTCAAACTTTGACTCCAGCCCTTTAGAGCTTCTTGTCATCCACTAGTTGTCAATCTGTTCATGTAATCAAAGTCTCCCTGCTTATTTTCAACATCTTTCTGTTCAGTTTAGCACTCTGTGTTCTCTTACTGAAACTAGTGCTTTAAGCTTCCGTAGAAATCCATATCTATAACGTGTAATTCCTATTTGCCTGGAAAATACATAAGGTATACTCATCTCTCTTGAGCAGTAAAGAATAGCAGACTCTTGCCTGTGGGCAGCAATACCCAGTTTCATCCAACCACAACTCAATTGTTTGCAAAAGCTAGAATCGAGAAGAGAGCAATCCTGGGGCATCTTTTTCTACACTGAGGGAGGCTAATGCAACTGTAAAATGAAAATTCCTGGTATTTCGATCTGATAATTAGCATGGTTAGGCTTGGTTTTTGAGATCTGAATTTAAACTGTGGTAGGGAATTACAGATTCATAATATATGCCAGTTGTCAAGAGGATCTTGTTTGTGGTTTAGCTTGATTTTACTGGGCTGTGGTAGACTACATTGCTGTCAGTCCTTTGATTTGGCTGAGATATTTGCCTGCAGACCTATGTCTTGGGAAAATACAAATGACTTGTCAGGGACTGTAGTCTCAGCCTCACATATCAGAAATGGTATGAGTATATATTTATAACTACATCTATACCTATATATCTGTGTGTGTATGTACTTCGCTCTCAAGTGTTGAAGGGGAATGAGAGAAAGGAGTTGAATCTCGTGGTGTGATAAAAAGTAAATGGCACGTTAAAGGTTAAACTCTAGGAAGCATTTAATATTGTAAGAAGTTCATTCCATATGCTGCTGATTTGCAGTATTTCACAAAAGAAAATTTTCAGTTAAACATGTTTATCTACATTTCTTAACTTGATATGTGGAATATATCTCCCTATTCCATTGAAATCTCCCAGAAAGCCTTATATTTGATTGAACACGATAGATTGTTCTCTTATGACTGTCATCTGAATATTAGATGTGTGAGATAAGTGGGTCTGGAGCTATCCCACTAATTGTTAGACAGCTGTTCTTGAGCTCATTCCTAGGAAAGCAGTTAAAAAATTATCTCGCATCACAGTAACACAGAGTTGCTATTATTGTCAGCTTTGATATTATTGCTAGATAAGGAGAGCAGTAGGAGTGCTCTTTGGAGTTTTAGCTAGTCCAATGTCACAAGAAGAAAAAGACTTAATTTGAAGATGTCTTACACTCTGTTTCTGTTTTCTTACTCTGTTCTTTGTTCTGGAGGTTTTAAGGAGAGGGGTTTTAGGGAGGATAGCGAGTTAGTTGTTTGCCTTGTGGATGCACTTGAGTTTCCAGGGAATAACAGTATTTTAAAATTGAAGAGCCTATATGTAATGTAGCTGAGTGAGAAGAACAGAGATTTCATGCTTCTCTCACTTGGGAGTGGGACATGGTTCTCTTCTGACTGTAAGAATTGCCCATCTTCCTGATTGCAACTGTTCTCCTTCAAAACCTGTAGATGCTCTGAGAGGACACTTGTATGTGAGAAAAAGGGATCTGACCTTGATTGACCTTTTTTCCCCTCCATTTTCCCACTATTGTACTTCCAGCACCTTCTAATTGCACACAAACTGCCTCATGTGGTTCTACAGACCTTCAAGGTTGAAACTCCTATATGTTGAGAGTCCTTGTTTTCTTTGTTACTGAATAATTTGCCTTTTTCAAGGTGTGGGGAAAAATTCAGCAGCACTTTTGACAGTGTAAAAGTTCTTAGTCTTTTCTAGTCTTTTTAAAAAAAAAAAAAAGGTTGGCCATGGAATCAAAGTAAGGAATAAAAATCTAGTGTTTCTGCAGGGCTACTTAAACTGAAGAAGCCTCCATTCCCTGTTGATAGCAGCAGCACAAAAAGCTTCATCCAAGCTATTAGGGAACAAGTAAATATAACGTGCTGCATTTTGTCATAGCAGGGCAAATTACTGGCAATTAATATTTTATTCAGTTATTTCATCCTTCACTGCTGAATTGCCTACAAACAAATTTCTCAGTATATTAATTGTCCCGAACTATTCATGGACTAGTTGCTGCAACTAGTGATCTTTCTTCTTACTATTCATCAAGCATTCATTTTTTAATATTTCCTTTTGGGAAGTTAAGCTGTTTTGATGTGACACACACACTACATGAGTGCTCTTGAGTAGGTGAGGATGACCTGTTCATGGTTTGTACTCTTCTTATAACTTTAAAATTTTGAGTTGAAGCATGGTGGAGGAACGTCATTACTTGGTGAATACAGTTACAGTGCTTCTAATTTGTTTCTAATGGAGGCTGTCCAAACATAAAAGGTAGGCATAATCTCTTCCTCATCCTGCAATGCATTGCTCTACGATGGAGATAAGTAACAATCCGATAAAGCGTTTCAAGCCAGAAGCAACCGTTTTAGGTGCAAGGAATATACAGGATAAGGTGATGCTGTTCACACTTGGTTGTGGATTGAAACAAGGCAGATAGTGGGGTTGTGGGGCAAAAAAGGTGGATTTCTTTTCTTCTCATATGTCTTTTCTGTTTGTACCAGCAAAAGCAAATTTTTGCTACAGCCAGATCAGCAGACTCAGTTTTTCTGCAAAAGAGTGAATGATCTTCTTATTCTCCTTCCTTTAAAAGACTTGCTGGCTAAGTTCTCATTCCTGTTGTCCACTATTGATCATGGTAACATGTGAAAGAGACAACATACAGCTTGGTTTTCTGTGAGGAAGCCAAGAACGTGGTTCTTGTGAGCTATAAGCAAAATGTGTGTGGAATAGGAAGAGAAGCAGTGGTTCAATTTTCCAGGAGTCATTTTCTGATTAGAAATACAGTTTAGTATGCTGCTCAGTAAGTTTCAATTAATGATCACTTTCTGAACGTGAAAAGATGGTATTTTTCTTTCACTGCCTTTTAGTTTGGGTTGAGGAAGAATGTCCTGCATGGTGGAAGAGAAAGAAGAGGGAAGAGCTTGTAGATAAAACATATTCCATACACTTTAGAGAAACAAAGGGACCATCTGAGTATAAACACTAGAAGAGAGTCAGTCTTGGGAGTCACTATATATAAAATGCATGTTTCCCTAAGGTACATGAAAGAAGAATGGAGACAGCAATTTGTCATTGTGGATACAAAATCTCCAGTAAGGGTATTTTTTTTCTTAAACATTAACTAAAGTTGGCCAACCTTTGGAGACAATTCCATCCATTCAGATCTTGGCTTTGATGTTTGTTTGCATTTCTGGACCTGCTTCCAAAGTCTGCTGCCTTGAAATTTTTCAGTGCCTGTGGAACAAATCCTGGGGCTCCTTGTCTTCCTTATATAGCCGTGTGCCTAGCTTGTCATTGGTCCTCCTCACTCATGTCTTTAGAAAGCTCCTGTATGCCATGTAGCAGTGATTTTCTCCATTTGCATGTCTTCTGTTGCTCTTGGCTTCCTAGTGTGAACTTGGAGCTCTGCATGTCTCTTCATTCAAATTTTATGTGACACATTCCTTTTGTTTCTGTTTAAATGTTGTATGTCTTTCTCTTTCTTTCTTCTCTTCCACTCTTTCTCTCTCTCTTCCTCTCCCCTGCCTTTTTATGTGTCTGTCCACACTGTGTGCTGCCTTCCTTCTGGCCACTCATTTCCTGCTGCCTATAGTAGCCATAAAGTGCAGTCTGCTGACCTGAGGAGAGTCTCAGCTCCCCCCGATTCCTTCACTGTGTGAGTATCTGGCTTTTTTCTACTTTCAAAGTTCCATAGTTTTTTGCTGTTACTTTGTGTGTCATTCAACCAGGAGACGGAGCAGTAAAATCCAGTGACAAATGGGAGCTCACGTGACAGCATGGCAGGCA